CATTTTCCCCATGATACAAACGCCTGCACGAGGTAAAAAAAAAAAAGAAGAAAAAAGAAGACATTTAACGCTGGCGCCCAAAGCACAAATCGTAGTGCTGTGTCTAGCCAGGCAATCTCAAAAAGCTTAGGGCTCTGTAGTGCGAGGCAGTCTCAGAAGTCACGGGGCTGCATCTAGGAAGACAATATCGAAAGGCGCTGGGCTGCGTCTAGCGAAGCAATCTCGGAAGTCACATGACTGCGTTTAACGAGACGATCTCGGAAGGTACAAGGCCGTGTCTATCGAAGCAATATTAGAAGGCGTACGATAAGAACGATGCAGTGTTGTAGTTAGTAATGTCATGCTAATCGTAATTATTCACTTTTCCTGATTTTGAAGTCCAAAAATCAGGGGTGTACATTATACACGTGAATTAAATATTAAACTTTTTTCTAGCTACTTTCATCGCCATATTTTAGACCAGTGATTTTAAACCGGTGTGTCGCGACACGCTGGTGTACAGTGAGTGGGTCGTAGGTGTTCAGCGAAAATTTTGAAATGTCATTAATTAAAATATTTTCGAAAGAGGTTCAAAACACAATAAGTGTCTTTAAATTGATTATACGAGTATATCATTGCTATAATAAATAAATGTTAGAGACCGCCAGGCGGTGTAATGGTTAGCAAGATTGTCTCGCTAGGACACTTATGACTGAGTAGTGAGTTCGATCCTCACTGGGTGCCCTATACTTTCGGCCTTGTGCCACATCTAAGCTACGCTTGGCAAATTACTATAATAAATAAATGTATAGATAATATAATTATTTACATTATTCGGACTGTTATCTTCATTGTCATTTTTAGAACGTTTCGGCCGTTATGCTCACCGGCATTCTTCAGTCGATTGGAATTTCGAACCGAACCCTTTATTTCGTCCACCGGAGTATATTGTTCTAGTTCCACGTGCCATGCCACTTCCGGATTCAGTTATTTCCTTTAACTCAACTCTCCATTTTTTTTGGTTCACGTGGAACTAGAACAATATATATATATATATATATATATATATATATATATATATATATATAGTGAGTGGGTGAAAGAAAGATGAATTTATTATCGTGTAGGAGGTGGGGGGAGAGAAGGAAATGAAGAAAAAACCGTTCTCTCTTTCCACCCACCTCTCTCTCTTTCCCCCACACTCTTTCTGCCTCTCTCTTCTACCTCCCGTGATTGCGTGCGTGCTTATTTAGATTTCAGGTTTCTTTAAACAAACAATATTTTAAATATTTTTTATTTCAACTTTCCTCAAACAGACAATTTGTTTAATGTTGAAAGCAACTTCAATAACTGCAAATAAATGTATTTTTTAAAATATCTCTTCTTTCACAAACTCTTCATGAAACTAAATGTAAACAACACTAACACAACAAGGTTGACCTAACCGGTGATGTGTGGTCTAGTAATTAAATATAACTTTGCTATTGATGTCGGTTTAACTAAGTAAATATACAGACAGAATTTTACTAAAGCGTAGCTTAGTACGACATAAAGCACTTTGTAAGGATCAAACTGACAAAACTCGCAATGATTTGCAAGACTAGGTTCCTGTAACAATCAGCTTTACAGCTGGTACACTTGGTGGATATTTAATAATTTGAAACAGAATGTCAATGGTGGTGCTCAAAGTAAGCGCACAATTCCAGTAATTATCTGTTTCACTAGTAATCACTCTATGGCTGGGGTACTTTAGCTTCGTTCAGGGTACCGAGCAAACATTCTACGAGACAAAAGATTACTGTAACAATCACTCTATGGCATGCGTACTTTTAGTTTGCTTCAGCAAACATTCTATGACACAAAAAGAAAGCAATCACTTTATTTTTAGCTTGGTTCAGGGTAACAATCATTCTATGACACAAAAGATTATGGCATGCTTTATGGCAGGGTTTTTTAGTTTGCTTCTATGACAGGGTACCAATCACTTTATGGCAAGGGTATTTTAGCTACCGACACTAAAAAAGATTATTGTAACTGTATTTTAGCAATCACATTCTATGGCAGGGATTACTATTTTATGGCTTGGTTCAGGGTACCGATCAAGCATTCTATGACACAAAAGATTACAAAATCACTTTTATGGCATTTTTAGCTGTAACAATCACATTCTATGACATTCTATGACACAAAAGATTACTGTAACAATCACTTTATGGTTCAGGGGGTATTTTATGGCAGGGGTATTTTAGCTTGGTTCAGGGTACCGATCAAGCATTCTATGACACAAAATGATTACTGTAACAATCACTTTATGGCAATCACTTTATGGGGGGTATTTTAGCTTGGTTCAGGGTACTGATCAAGCATTGGTTCAGGGTATTTTAGCCGAGGGGTACAAGTATTCTATGACACAAAAGATTATTGTAACAATCACTTTATGGCAGGGGTATTTTAGCTTGGTTCAGGGTACCGATCAAGCATTCTATGGATTATTGTAACAATTTTATGGCTTGGTTGGTTC